TTGAGTTCCTGTTTTCAGCTATTTTGTGTATCTCCGTAGGAGTGGAGTTTCTGGATCACATGGTAATTCTATGTGTAATGTTTTGGGTAACCACCATGCCTTTTTGGACAGCAGCTGCACCATCTTACATTCGTCAGCAGGGCACGAGGATTCCGTTCTGCACATCCTGCCGACACTTGCTTTCTATTTGTTTAATAGTAGCCCCCTGATGGCTGTGAGGTGATGCTCATTGTGGTTTTGATGTGTTTCTCTAAAGACCAGCGATGTTGAACCGGTGAAAGGTTTCCATCAGGAGGAGGCCCCTGCGGGGAAAGCAGCAGACTTGGCAGCAGAGACATAGTGAACAAGTGTGGGCGGGGCAGGTGCGGCGGTCAGTGAAGTCACCCACCCAGTGGGTCACCTGGTCATATCGAGGGCCCTCGGATATAGTCCTAACACAGGCATATGAAAGCTACCACTGCAAGGAAGGACAGAGACAGGGACTCCACTTACGGCGACGTCGGCTGGGAGTCTTAGCTAATATACTATTCAAATTTGATTATTTTTTTTTAGATTTTTTTTTTTAATAGAGAGAAAGAGAGAAACATCAATGTGAGGGGGAAACATTGATTGACTCCCTCCTGCATGCCCCCTTCCAGGGATCGTATCGGCAACCCAGGCACGTGCCCCGATAAGGAATCGAACCAGCAACCTTTTGGTTCATAGGACAACACCCAGCCAACACTGGCCTGGGCCATCTGATGAACTGAAGTGGCTTGTTAACACTCAGTTTTGATCAGCAGGGAAAACGGGCTGGTGAAAGTACAGGGATATTGAGTAAGACTGACCATGAGTGTAGTGTTTGTAAAAATGAAAAAAGAGCACATCAGCCTAAATTTTTCTAGAGTCAGAGGAAAATAGAGACTGACATGGAAGAAATCAACAATGCCATCCTAGAGACATGGTTGCGAGGGCCTGAGGTGGCTCAAAAGGCAGCAAGGAGTGCCTGCCTGCGAGCTTGGGAAGATGGACATGAGAGATGGACTCAGCGGTGGACCAATGACATGGATGGACCTGGGAAAATGGCGTTGAGGTGGCAGGATCCAGAATCACCCAGGGCCGGAGAGCAGGGCTGCAGCAGTAAGAAGACAAACATTGAACGGCGTTTGGACCAACAATGAGCATAGAGAGGTCAGCTCTACGTGGGGATGGCGGTGGTGCAGCTCCTTCATCCTCCACATCTACTGCGCAGTCTCAGCACAGCCCGCCTGTCAGAGGGACAGGGGAGCCTTTGTTCCATACCATGCCCCTCCCTCCCTGTGAGGAAGGGCAGTCCCCAGCATTGGGGCAGGCCTGGGTCTGCTCTGGGCAGGGCTGGTGGCCTCGCTGGACAGTCCTGAAGCCCGGCTATGTGTGCTCATTTGCAGCTTCCCACCGGGAGCAGGCGGCTCCTCTGTGCTCTCCCTGTCCACAGGCAAACGCAGCTGAGTCTTCCTCCCCTGAGGGCTCCTCCCTGGGCAGGGCTCGGGGATGGGCAGTGCCTGGCCACGGTGTTGGTCCAGGTGCAGGCATGCTGCTCCGGATGGTGTTTGAGAACCGGGGTGACCGAGTCTCGGGGAGCTTTCCTATGCAGCTGCCCTTTCTCCACACTGGAGAATCTGAGCAGGTGAACGGGAAGTGGGGCCGGGGCTCTCTTGTTAACAAGGGCCCAGGAGGTTGTAAGCCAGGGTGATTGGCACCCTGTCAGGAGCAGGCAGGTGAGGGCGAGAACCACCCCTGAGTCAGCTCCCGTCCTGGGTCCACTCAGTGTCCCGTGCAAGGGAGGAAGCCTCTGCGCAGGTGGCTCTGCTGGGTGATGCTGAGCATGTACGCAGCTGTGACAGGCTCTGCTGGTGTGGTCCCGAGCTCCCCCTTTGTATGCGGATGCATGGAGGGCCACACAAGACAATGTCTACTGGCAGGTGTGGTCTGGGCCCAAAGGATTCCCACGTGCACAGAGTTCAGGTTTGCCTAGAGCTTCTCTTTCACAGACAGCTGCCTTACTCACATGTTTCTCCAAGTGGCCTCCTGTTCAGACGTTGGGTCCATGACATTGGCACACCAAGCCCTACGTAGCCTACGGTCTCAGGTAGGAGGCCCCTTAGACGTCGGAGTCTGTCCCCGCCTCAGGAAAGGGTCTCAGCCTCTCTTCGCCTCTCCAGCGATGGGGAGCCGAGTTTCCCGCAGAGACAGCTGCCTCATTAGCAATACCAGGCTGGACACCTCTCTCCCCGTGCCCCTGGCAGCGCTTGCAGACACAGGAGGCAAGGGTGCGTCTCCCCCAGTTCTCTCCAGTGGCTCCCAGCACTTCTCAAAGTTGATGTGCAAAGGAGTCACTGGGGAATCTTGTGAAAACGCAGTGAGATTCTGGGTTCTAATGAGCTCGCTCCCTAGTGATGTGGAGGCCACTGGTTCACGGACCACTGACAGAAGCCCTCATTGAGGTCAGAGTGTCCAAAAGTGAGGGAGGCAGGAGTTCCTGGGCCCCCACTTAGTGACTATCTGATCTGGGGACATCATTGGGCTGAGAGTACTTCCATAGCGTCCTTGTGAGGACGAGGCCATGGTCGGGGGGAGCTCTGGCATTTTTTTCCAGCAGACCTGCTGGGCAACCAGGCAACCTGCTCTCTGAGGTGGACAGAGGTAGCAGCCAGGAGACCTGCTCTCCAAGGTGGACAGAGGTAGCAACCAGGAGACCTGCTCTCCAAGGCGGACAGAGGTAGCAACCAGGAGACCTGCTCTCCAAGGTGGACAGAGGTAGCAGCCAGGCGACCTGCTCTCTGAGGTGGACAGAGGTAGCAGCCAGGTGACCTGCTCTCTGAGGTGGACAGAGGCTGGGCAGCCAGGAGACCTGCTCTCCAAGGTGGACAGAGGTAGCAGCCAGGAGACCTGCTCTCCAAGGTGGACATAGGTAGCAGCCAAGCGACCTGCTCTCTGAGGTGGACAGAGGTAGCAACCAGGAGACCTGCTCTCTGAGGTGGACAGAGGCTGGGCAGCCAGGCGACCTGCTCTCTGAGGTGGACAGAGGTAGCAGCCAGGTGACCTGCTCTCTGACATGAACCAGATGCTTGGTTCCTCTGTTGCATCCATTGGGCAAAGAGGCCTGGGAAGTTGACCTTGACCTCCAAATGGCGGCCTTTGTGTTTCCAGCTCTGTGAGTGGCTCTGCTCATACTGCTTCCCCACACAGAGCCCCTTAGTAAAGTACATTTTTCTGTGCGGGACGTGGTTCTTGTAACCCTGGCTGTCTAACTGAGGGATACTTCTGTTGTTAGGCAATTTGCTCCTTGGACCTTGAGAATTTTAAAATGAGACATTCCTTTTCCTACCTGAGTAAGATGAAGACAGGCGGACAGTACACTTGTAACTTGATGGTGGAGCCCAGATCCTAACTGTTCTCTTTGCTGGCAGCCCCGGGTGACTGGTGGGAACCAGGGTTCAGGGACCACAGCCTGCCCACCCTCCCGGCTCACCATGGAGTCCACTCACAGGTGTAGACAGAGCCAAGGCCATCGGCTGGGGGATTTGTGTGGTGTTTTCACAGTGAAATTAAAGTGTGGCCGCCCTTGCTGGGAAAAGAACAGGTATAAAGCCCTGAATCCACACAGAGACCTGGATATGCTCAGCCCTGAGTGCGTGGGAGTCGGGGACTTGCTGAGCTGGGCGCCCTGGTGTGTGTGTGTGACTCGCTAAGCTGGGCGCCTCCCGCCTTCCCTCCTGGAAACACACCTGTGCAACCCCCCTCCCTTCAACTCCCCCAGCCCCACGCAAACACAAGGACAACGCACTGTGTGGTGCCTCCACAGCTGCCGCCTCAACCCGGAGGGAGGCCTCTGTCCCGTCTTTCCCACATCCCCGAATGAAGGGCTCCAGCGGGAGCCCCCAGCAGGTGGGGCTGTGAGGACGGACTTGGCCGCCCCCAGAGAGGTGCCCGGTGGGCATTTCCGCTGTCCATACTGAGAGATGGTTGCTACACTCTGCTCCCTGAGTGCATTCAGCTGCTCCCCTTCAGGCCCCAGATCCATCCCCTTTAGAGCACGGAGCTCAGTCACTAACTCAGGACAGTCCTGTCCTGACTCAGGTGCCAGGCCGCCCACAATGGCGGTCTTGGGTTCTCATCTTGGCCACCGGCAGGAGTGGAGGTTATGGCCTGGCAGGCACGGACACAGCCAGCAGGGGGCTCCCGGCTGCTGCTCTGTCCCCAGGGGCCCACAGGCAGGGATGGGAGGCCTGGAGGGCAGGCGGCCCTTTCCTCACTCACCAGCTGAGACCCCCAGGCCCACAGAAGAGACAGGAGTTCCCAGAGGACCACGCCTGCCCCACGCTGTGAAAGGCCGCCTTTTCTTTATCAGAAAACAGCTTTCAGAGGAGAGTCCTCAGGTGAGAAGACCCATTCTACGCAAATGAACATTTCTGCACGGCTGCCTCCGGGGCGCTCAGCCATTTCTGTGGAGCTGAGCTGGCAGTGGCTCTGTCTGAAGTGACAGGGGTCACCCTGGGGGCCTTGTGTGACCTAGGGGGCTGGCCCTGGCCTACCCAGGAGAAAGAGGGGGGGCCCAGTGCAGAGAGAACAGCCTTGAGGAGCCGGGTGGGTCCCCGAGTGGCAGGGCGAGGGGAGAAGGACCCGGAGGAAGGAAGGAAGGAAGGAAGGAAGGAAGGAAGGAAGGAAGGAAGGAAGGAAGGAAGGAAGGAAGAGGAAAGACATGGAGCGGGTCTGGGATCGGAGAGGGGCTCAGAGGGGCCAGGTTGGGCCAGCAGCACCCTCCCGGGGAGAGACCTGGGTGCTCTGAAGGGGGGTATTTTCAGAATCCCCGTTTTCCCTGAGACCTTAAGGACCTCAAGTGGCTGGGCATGTGATGAGTGAGGGAGTGTGTGTGTGTGTGTGTGTGTGTGTGTGTATGTATGTGGTTGGGGGGTAATGTCTGGGGAGGGAAATAAACTCTGGGTTTTTGGGGGGCTGAGGGGTGTTGTCTGCTGTAATTCTCAAGAAATGCCTTCTGTGGCAAAGTCCTCTAGATCATTGGTGGAGATGATACCCAGGCTTGGAGCGTCTACGGCGCCCTCCACTGGGGTCCCTGGGGGCGCCCTGGAGCTGGGACCTGCAGTGCGCTGGGCGGGGTTGCCAGGGGGCAGGGGGGCTGGCTGTGGGTCAGCAGGGTAGGTGCTGGGGGGCGCAGGGCGGGCTGCCTCCCAGGCGCCAGGGCTCTGCCCGAGGAAGGTGGGGGCAGAGAGCTGAGAGGAGCAGCGCAGCGGCATCAAGGCCGTGGCGCGCAGGGGCCGGATGCCGGGGCACAGCACGAAGGGGGCGGCAAATGCATCCAGCGGGAGTGGCTCCGGGGAGCCCTCCTCGGAAGCTGGGATGGGGACCTTGACATATCTGCCTGTCTCCGGGTCATAGAAGGTCTTCATTTTCACCTGGAGCGGCAGGTCGAAGACAAAGTACTCTCCGGACTGGGGGTCTTGGAGGACCTTCTGGGTGGCAGGGTAAGGGGGCAGGGGTCTGCGTGACTGGGGCCCTCCGGGCAGCCTCGGGTCAGGCTCCGAGAAGGCGGCCACCGAGTGGCGGTGCGCGGGCGGGGGCAGGGCGCGGACGGCGGGGAACCTGGGCAGCAGCCTCTCCCCGGGGGACAGGGGCCTGGGTGCCGCGTCCTCCTCCCGGGCACCGCCGGGCACGTCCTGCACCGGGTCCGCCTTCCTCCTCTTGCTGGCCAGCTTCTTCGCCCGCCGCAGGGCCTTCTCCGTCTTGGGGGGCACGGCCGGGGGCTTGGCTGCTGCCCTCTCCAGCTGAGCAGAGGGCTGTGCTCGGTCAGGGACAGCCAGGCCGGTGGCCACGTCCAGCAAGGAGCCTCCGGGAGAGAGGGCCCTGAGGTCCTCGGCGGACGGCTCCAGCTGGGGGTCGGCGCCGGCCTCCCAGGTGAAGGTGTGGGTGAGATCCTCCCTCCGGGCCGCCCTGGTGGGGCCGGGGCCGGGGGTGGCCCAGGGTCCGGGCCGGCAAGGCTCTCCTGGCATCAGGCCCGGCTCCCAGGGGCCCTGAGCTGCGTCGTCCCACAGGCTGCTGGCCGCGGGGGAGTGGGCGCTGCTGCCCTCCAGCGAGCTGCTGTTGGGGGAAGCCGGGGGCTCCCCGGCAGCCAGTCTCCTCCCCGGGGGGCCCACGCGGGGTGTAGACAGAAAGTGACTTTGGAAATCTTGCGTCTGCTCTTCCCAGGAGGTTCCGGGTTGCTGTGGGGGTGGCTGGCCTTGTAAGTTGTTTTCGGGCAAAGCGATGGTGGGGATGCACCGTGGAGCCTCTGGCTCGCCCGGGTCTGAGGAGTAGCTCCTGCCTCCATCTGCCACAGCCTTCCACCCGGCGTCCGGGGGTGGCTTCCGCCCCTCGCCCTCTCCTGGAAGAGGGGTGGACGAGACGCTGCCCTGGGCCTCCCTCCTGGCCACACCGGACGCCCAGCCCTGGTCCTCCGTCCCTCTGTGGGCCACGTGCTTTAAGGGTGGGCCCCTCAGGCTAGTGGGTGTTGGGGTGCTGGGCACTTCCTGGCTCTTGGGGGCACCCAGGCCAGCATCCTCGCCCCAGCCTGGCCTCGGCACCTCCTCCTCTCTGTGGCCACTGCCCAGCGGGTCCTCTGAGGACAAGGCCCTCAGCAGGGGCAGCATGACGGGCCGTATCACGGGCGTGGCCCGGAGGGTGTTGTCTTTGATGGCGAACAGCCTGTGCCTGTTGGGCGTGGACGATGGTGAGAGGCCTGCGTCCCTGCTCCCCCCCACCCACGCGCCTCTGAGGTCAGCCTCCTCCCGGGACGCCTTCCTGGGCCTCTCTCCACACACACCCTCCCCCGCGGCCCGCCATGCTCCCTGCCCGCTCTGCTCCTCCGCGCACAGGGACCCATCGCCGGCGGCGCGGTGCGGCTCCTCCAGCCCGTTCTGCTCTCTGCCTCCTGCATCCCCGCCATTCGTCCCATCTTCCCGGGGGCTCTCGGGGAAAGTCATCTTCTGCTGATCCTCGAACGAGGCGAACGACTGATCGGAAGAGCTGGTGCTGAGCTTGGCCTTCCCCTTGAGGGCAGGCATAAAGTCCGACTGGCTGTCGCTGTAGAACACATCTTCCTCCTCGGGAGAAAGCGGCCCCGGGGAAACTTTCAGGGAGACCTTCTGGCGGAGGTTCGCATCCGGGAGTCCGGCCTCCCTCTCGGGCTCTGTCTCTTGAGAAACGGATCTGGAGAACCGGCTCTCCAGGCCGGGGGTCCGCAGGTGCTGCGCAGCCCGCCCCGCCTCGGGCTCCCCACTGCAGAGCTTCAGGGACAGGTGCCTCCGGGGGCAGCGCTCCCTGGGGTCTGGGGCACCCACATCGGGGTCTCCATGGGTGGCGTCCTCATCAGCCTCCCCGTTGACACAGAAGGGGGCAGTGGCGGCAGCGGGAGGTGAGCGGGGGGCCGGGTGGCTGTCGGCGGAGGCTGCACCAGGATCAGCCTTCGGGTCGCTCTGGGCACTGACCTGCGGCAGAGGGGTGTCAGCTGGTCTCTCCTTACACAGCTCCCGTGGGGGGCTCTCCTCCAGCCCGTTGGGAAGGGCCATGCCGTTGCTCAGGGGCTCCTGGCTGCCTCCGCCTTTCTCGTCGGAGCCTTTTAGGAGGGGCGAGGGGCTGTATGTGCTCTTCACACACCTGCGCACGTCCTTGAGGTTGAACAGCAGGCTGGGGGCCCTGGCTCTGTAGCTGTCCCGGGGCTCGCTGGGCTCCTCCTGGTAGCCGTTGAGCTGCCCTGGGGGCGATGGGGTGCCCTCGGCTGGCGGGCTGAAGGACGGATCCAGGACATGCTTGGTGGGTATGATGGGGGTCAGCAGCTTGCTGATGTTGAAAGGAGGAGGGTAGCCGTCACTGGGGTCCACACTGCCGAGAGCATCGTTTTCTGGAAACTGGCCCTGGGGGTTGTGCTTTGTGTGCAAGGCCAGGCCTGGCCTGAGGGCCTGCTTCTCCTCCGAAGCCTCCTGCGTGCTTTCCGTGCCGCCTTTTCGCGTCTTTGCTTTTCTCCACGGGGCCTGGCTGGGCCTTGCCGGGAGGTCAGGCTGCGCGCTGGAGGCCCTGTCCTCCGTGGGGAACGCTGGAGCCCCCGGGTCCCTACACCTCCAGGGTCCCGACGCGGAGAGAGTGCCCGCTGCCGGCCTGCTCTCTTCGTGCCCGCAGCTGGCCCGGGGGCGGCAGGGGGAGGCTCTGCTCGCAGGGGCCTGGGGCTCTCTTACCGAGGGCAGGTCCTCGCAGTGCTTGGGGGGTCTGCCTTCCAGGGCGGCCTCTGCCAGCTCCCTCCGCTCCTGCAGCCGGGGCTGGCGGCTGCTCCAGGACTCGAAGGCGCTGTTCTCACTGTGAAGGAAGGTGCCTCTGCGAGCCCACTCCTGGCTTCTCCCGGGCTCCCCCAGGGCCGGTCTGTGGGGCGGGGAGGAGAACGGGGGCTCCGATGAGCTGGCCCCGTTTTCGGGTGCTGGGAGGAGGCCGCCGGAGCCCTGGCAGGCGCCCTCGGGGCTCCTGGGGGGCTCCTGCTCTGTGTGCTTCCTGCCGGGCTGCGGGCCGGAGACCTCTGCGGGCACCCGCCTCACCGTCAGGAAGGCAGAGTCGAAGCAGAAGTTGACCCCGCTCTCTGGAAGAGGAGCGAACTTGGGGGTGGTTTTGATAGTCGGAGGCTTGCTGGTCGGAGGCCTGCTGTCGCACTGCTGGCTCTCAGGCCTGTCGAAGGATTTGATTAGTGAGGATACTTTGGAGATGGGCTTGCTGCTGCTCCTCAGGCCGGAAATGGGCACCTCCAGCCTCCTCTGGGCCGGCGTCAGCGGGGGGCTGCCTTTAGGGTACTCCTCCTCTCCTTGGACGTATTTGGGGAGCTGCTGGAACGTGGCCGCCCAGCCAGCGTGCTCCGTACCTTGCGACGGCAACTGGCTCCAAATGCCGCTCTTCCTGCGGGCGTGGCTCACCGTCCCCTGGTGCAAACTGCCGAGCGCCTGGCGGGCGGGGTCCGGCGTCAGGGCCAGGTCGGAGTCACTGAAGGATGTGTCCTCTGAGATGCACAGACTGCGGAACGCCCGGTCCGTGAGGCTGCTCACCTCCCGGTCGGCGTCGTCCAGCACGCTGCCGATGCTCGAGGTGTCGCTGAAGCCGTCTGTGCCCTTCTTGTTGCCCTGCATTGTCGCCGCCTGAGAGGCCTGTCCCTGGCCAGTCCGTGGGCTTCTCGGGGCGGTGGTTCTGGAAGGGCTAGGGGTATCCCTCGTCCCACAAAACCCGCTTCCCGTTGATCAGATGCAACTGCTTTCCCTGCAGAAGGAGAAGAGCAGGGTGAGAACAGGATGTCCCATTAGTGGCCATGGAGACCGTGCACCGGTCCTGCGGCCGGTTGCTTGCCATGGCTAATGTTCCGTGTCAGCCTGGCTGGCCCCTGGTGCCCACGTTTTGGTCCAATGCCAGTTTAGCTGCCGCTTTGAAGGTATTTTCTTTAGATGTAATTAGCATTTAAATCATAGACTTTGAGGAAAGCAGACTGCCCTCCATACTGTGGGTCACAGCCACACGACAGAGCCCCGAGGAGGAGGGAACGCTACCTCCAGTCCTGGGATGGCGGCTGCAGCATCAGCTCCGTGGGTACCAGCCTGCTGGCTGCGGACGCTGGGCTGGCCAGCCCCCACAATGGCACGAGCCAGTTCCTTAAAGCAAACCTCCCCGATGACACGTTGGCCAATGACTAACTAATTGCATAGATGATATGGTCCCACGGGTTACAATGGAGCTGAGAGATTCCCATCACTCAGTGGCCGAGGGGCCACCCCAGTGCTCAGCACAGCGCATTGCTGCGTGTGGGGAGATGCTGTGCGAACACCCTGTCGCTGCCGGCTATTAACGGGGCAGCACACAGTCATGCACAACATGGCACTCGATGATGCCAATGAATGGCGATGTTGCTGGTTTTTGTGTTTGCTGTGCTGAACTGTTTACTGCTGTCTGAGATACGCCCCTTCTCCTCACAAGAACATGCTTGCTGGGGGAAAGTATGCGGTCTGCACCAGCAGCAGCCTCGCACACCTCGTGTTAGCGGAGCGCACCGCTTTCTCCTGCACTTGATTCAATCTCATGTGGTTTTGTACAGTCACATGCTGAGCAGGCATGTACCCCAAGGCAAGAGCCTGTGCCACGCAGCCCCGGCGTGTGCCATCTGGGTTTGTGTCAGCGCGCTCCGTGATGCCCGCACAGGGACAGAGCAGCACATGACTGGGGGTGCACATCCCACCAGTCTGGTCCCCTGGAGCCGGACTGATGTCACACTGGGGGTCCAGGTGGGTCACTTTTGCAGAGGTATCTTCCCTGGCCATCGAGGGCTATCCCTTTCACTGACTCACAGTGGCTGGCTTATCTCCTTGGTTGTACGGAGCACAGTTTAAAATTAAATTTACTTCTTAGTTGCCTGTTCCATCATCAGAGGTAAGATGGAGCTTAGGAGCCAGAGCTGTCTTTTCGCTGACTGACTTTGGCCCATAGCCACCCAAGAGGGCCCAGTCCTCCAGAGCTGACATCTGGCTCCTCACTCTGCTGTGCCCTTAGTGTGGTCAATGGAGGTGCCAGGGAGGGGAGCCTGCTGCCCCCCCCCCCCCCCCCGGGGCTGCAGAGATGGCTTCACTCTTATTAAGCAACTCCACATTCTGGATCTCCCTAATTCTGTCCCTTCAACATTCTTTTCTTCTGGTTTAATTTTAGAGAGAGGAAGGAGAGAGAGAGAGAGAGAGAGAGAGAGAGAGAGAGAGAGAGAGAGAGAGAGATCCATTGCCATTGTCTCTGCACTCGCCCCGTCTGGGGATCAAACCCATAACCCGGGTATGTGCCCTTATTGGGAATCGAACCTGCCACCTTTTGGTGTACCAATGGAACCATACCAGCCACAGATCTTTATTTTTAAATAGTGTTGAAATATCTATAACATAAAATTTGCCATCTTAACCATTTTTAAGTGTACAGTTCAGTCATATTAAGCACATTCATAATACCACCATCCATCTCTAGAACTCTTTTTTAACTTGCAAGACTAAACTCTGTACCCATAAACATAACTCCCTATTCTCCCTTCCTGCCACGTTCTGCCTCCATGAATGTGGCTACTCTAGGTACCTCATATAGTGAAATCATGCAAGATCTGTGCTTTTGTGACTGGCTTATTTCACTCAGTGTAATGACCTTAAGGTTCATCCATGCCGTAACATCCCTCCCTCTACGTGCTCAGTCCTGGTGGGGCTGAACGTCAAGGGCCTGCACGGACCTCGCGGGGCCCGTGCTGGTGAGACTAGGTTAGCCACTGTGCATGGTCCTGGAGCGGCAGGATGATGTGCCCGGGCGTCCTGTGCAGCCTCGGAGCCTGCCTGCCCTTTCCCGCCTAGAACTGAACCTTCACCTTGAATCTACAAGTTCTGTTCCGTACTGACCCATTCTGCTGAATGTGCCCAGTGTCTGCTTCTGCTGTGTGTGGCCACAGACCCTAGCTGATCTTGGGTTTGAGTTGTAGGAATGAGGGAAGCTCACTGATCAGAGGACTCAGAAAATGACCCCCTTTCTCTGCCTCGGGAAGGAGGAGACTCCATCCCGCATTGAGGACTTCACTCAGATCATGTCTGCGGTCCCATCTGATTTGTCCCTAGGTTGGCCTCATCCTTCCCTCCTCCCTCGCTAACAACTAAAGAAGCTTCCAGGCGGCTGGCTCTTGGGCTGGCGGTTCCATACCTGTCGCAGCAGTGAGGACTGCCGGGCCTGCCTCGCTGGGTTTTGGGATCCGTAGTTTTAAAACTTCTCATGCTTGTGTTTGCTGTCCTCACTGCCCATCTAGAAAGAAGAGGAAGAATAATTTCAGTGGCACCCAAGTGACCAAAGGGCCAAGCACATGTTCAGTGCAGAAGATATCTTTAAATAGCAGCCATGCACTTGGCCTTCATTTAAAAAAAAAAAAAATCTGCACTTGAACTCAGTGGAATTCCAAGCAGAGTCATTTTTGATGAAAGCCAATATGAGACCAATTTATATTCCTCCCAACATTCACTAACTTGTCTGTGGTCCCAATACCTCCCAGAGCCTGTTCTAAGCCCCGGGCCTTCTCACAGGATGGGCCCAGCTACGCATTGCTCTGTGCAGAGCTGATCAGAGGCCCTTTTCTCTCCCATATGAATTAATAACACAGGTTTTGCAGTGAAGGAAATCAGAGCTGCAGAACTTTAATCCACGCATCACACAGTAGCACAGGGTTCAATTTAGTGTTGGCAGAAGGCTTGGCTATCTATTCTGACAGCTAAAGAACAAAAAAGCTGCCCAGGAGAATTTTGAGAGAGCGGAGAATAAAGTGTAAACTAAAGTGAATCCACCACACGCATTCTGAAGGCAGACCGTCTGGGCTCCCACCAGCCCTTCCTCACTGTCTCCTCCTCACTGCCAGGGTCATCAGTTTGAATCAGGATATGTCAACAAGCCAACCCTGAGCGAGCGGCGCCCTGAATCAGTGTTTTCTCGGGATGAGCAATGAAATATCCTTTGCATAGTCATTATTAAATTCCAACTCTTCCAAATGTCTTCTCCCATGATGCTTTTTTCCATGTCATGTTGCCGATGCAGTTGAACTGTCATGGATTAGAAACTTTGCAGAAACAATGCTTCCTCTTTCTGCTCCCTTACAAATGCCTCTGCATGACCCTCAGAGAACTCGTGGTGGGGGAGCTGGAGGTCGCCCCACCCCCTCTCTCCAGCCTATGGTGCACTGGGTGAGGGAGCTACAGGCCAGGTGGGTCCGGCAGGCTGCTTGAGTTGGCAGTCCTTCTGTCTGTCTCTGTTTCCTGATCACCAACTGCTCACCACTTCTTCCTCAGTTCTCCTATTCCGAGTAGAATCATCTTTTAAAATCACTTGTATTGCTCTATTCCTGTGTCTCCCATGACTCTGTCTAGCTAACAAGGCTTTGGGCTCCTGGGAGTGAGGTCCCTGCCATGTTGGCCTTTGCCTGACAGGATGTTGGGCATGGAGGTCACTGGTCAATGTTTTCACTGCCCTTGCTGAGTTCCCTTCCCGGGCCTGAGGTGCGCTGACAGGCTTGAAGTGTGCAGACGGAGGCAGGCGCTCTGCTTGCCCCGTTCTCTGTGTTGCCCATGGCGCTCCTGGCCTTCAGCAGCTCAGGCCGCACGGCCCCACAGCTCACCTTTGCTGGTCTGCCCGCGCTGTGAGGACAGGAAGTGGCCAGGAGAGGGGACTTGTCCCTGTCACCTCCTAGGAGCCCTGACCCAGCTCTCCACACACGGCGCCTCAGCCCAGCCCCATGACTGAGGACATGGGACAGGCCACGAACCAGTCCTGGTGGATGACTTGGGAGGCCCCAGCTCCAGCCCCATAGTCATCCACGGGATGTGCACTGTCAGCTCCGTTTCCCGGAGGACACGGTGGAGCCTCAGAGAGGGGAAGAGCACATTTCGTGTCAATGAGCACTCTTGTAGTTTGCTCCTATGCAATGTTTGACTATACTTCCCAAGAGTCAGAGTTATCTATGGAATTAATCATTCCACACTTACACTAACAGTAGGCATTCATTGTTCATCTGAAATTCAATTTTTGCTGAAGGTGCTATGTTTTATCTGACAGCCTGAGGTCCTCACAACTTTTAGGACCCAAGGTGGATCCCAGTGGGAGTGGGCGATACAGTGAGTGCCCACCGGGACGACTTGCTTACAGGGCACCCCTCACTTTGGCACCCATTCTCTTGTTTTGCTCTCACGACCCCTGTGAGGGGTAACCAGGCCTTATTGTCCCCATTTTCTAGGTGGGTAAGTCCAAGCACAGAGCGGTGTGGACGACTGCTCAGTGTCGCATAGCATCAAAGGAGAGACCTGGGCTGGGACTCACCTGACCACCCTGCACCTTGTTCAGGGTACAACCCTGGCCACGGTCACGGCTCAGATGCACAAGGCTTGAGCCTTCTAATATGATTGGCTGGAGTTCAAGGGAGGATTGAGGACAGGAGAGGGTACGTGAGGCAAGGGGGGCCTTTATATCTATTTACGCCCTGACCATTTTCTCCGCTCAGTGTTTCTCTGTGAGGTCAGTGAGCCCAGGGCCCTTCTGTGGGGAGGCCTGTGGCGGGTGCAGAGTGGGAGGGATGCTCTCCAACGTGGAAGGA